TTTACTTCTGCTCTTGATCAACTTTTCTGAGAAACTCTGAGAGGAAGGCGCACCAGAGTCTCGCTAATCTACACCCATGTCACCATCTCCTCCCCTTACCACACACACACCACACACACCAGCCACACACACACACACACACACACAAATGTACATATATGTATATACGCACACACCTCCAAATCATTATGTCGCTTTCCTTTCATAAGCTAAATTGGGGTCAAGACCTTGATAGCTGAACAACACAAATAACAAGTATGCAGGAGGAGAAAGAGGAGGAGCGACAAAGATGCAGAGCTTCTAACAGAAAGCTCAAAAATGGTAGCACACAAAATCAAAAGGTGTGGACAAAGCAAAGAAATTATATCACAAAAGTAACAAAAGTGCTGTATTTTGTAGGAAGCAGAGTTAGTCTCTATTCCAACACATCTTTTTGAAAAACACTACAATGAAACATTCTTAACTTAAAATTGTACTAATTAACACTATTTACCATTTGTTTAATCTTCCAGTCTTTATGCTAAGCTAAAGTAATTGCCTGCTATTTCTAGCTTCATATTAATTAGTGATATCCATCTTCTCATCTGTCTAAGAAAGCTGAGAGATATCTGAGCGAGTGTATCAAAATGTCAAACTATTCCTTCAAGTTCTACTTGAAAAAAATATGTTTTTAATTTAAAAAAAAATAAAAAAAATAAAAAGATTTAGAAGAAGTATAGTTCTCTTTGTAAATTGTGTTTCCAGGTGTGTTTCAGTGCATTCTGCTGTTTTTAGGTGTGATCAGGTGCAAATAAAAAAATATCTAGTATGTTTAGGTACATTTACAAAGCATTTCTAGTTTTTGTTAAACTACCAGTATGATGAAAAACACAATAATAGTAATTTGTTATTTGTTCAATTAATTTTTTTTTTTTAATCCCCCACTTCTGAAACCAAACAAATGCCCCTGACATTGGTCAAGCACAATGGCAGGAGTACTGCTAATACCTAACATGCATTTACATGGTTGAGGAAACCTTTGTGAACATGAGAATGTGAAAACTCACATGGTTTGAACCCAGGACCCTAATGCTGCGAGGCAAAAGCGATAACACCCACAACTTTCTGACAGTTATGTCAGAGTTCTCCTACCTTGACTTTCTCGCGTCGTAAGCAGCAGAAGAGACAGTTTTCATCGAAGGACCAGTCAGACACTTCCTCGGGCTCGCAGTCTGGATAAGACAGGGGGACAGAAAGAAACATATTAAATTATGACTCCATCTCCCATAATTCCTCACTGTCTTCCAATTTGCTGCACATCCTAAATCCCAACTCCGTTTTTTCCTCCGGTCCTGTTTCAGGTTCATGTTTTGTGTTTTGTTTGAACTGTGTGTTTCCAGTCCAGTTAAATCTTAAAACCAGCTGTAAATGAGGTGTAGATGAATCAGTGGAGAAAGTGTCTGTTTTAATTCAACATCCAGTCAAGCCTGCAGAGAGTGACAGCTGAAGGCCCACAAACCACAACAACCAGAGCACTACAATGATTCACTTTTAATTACAGCCAATGATTAAATTACAGCAATGACTAACTTCATATGTCAAGTATGATGTGCAAAAAACGAAGTACTCCTGTGATTGACAGATGAGCTCAATTCACTATTGAATATATCATTGCCTAAAGACCACAAACACAGCATTAATGCCTGTGCGTGTGTGTATATATATCTGTATCTGTTTTTGAAGTATTCATGCCCTAAAGCCCTATTTGTGAATAACTAATTACCCTTTTCCAAGACTGCATTCTCTTCGTGTTCAGCAGGTTGAAGAAATTCACCGCTGTCTCCAGGTAGTTCAGTTGCTGCACATCATGAAACTGAAACATCCTGCCTTCAATCCTCTGTCTCCTCACAGCTATCCTCCCATTTCTCCATCAACTGGAGAGCTTCTGGCTCTAAAGGTAAATTCACACAGGAGTCTTCTGGATAATTTAGCAATACAGTGTATTAAGTGGTGGTGAAAAACAAAACAAATCCTAGTTAAATAGAGCAGAATTTAATCGTTGGGCACCATTGAAAAAGGTTAGATCTAGGAGGAAAGTGTTTACTACACACAACTATCCTGCAGTTGTTTGTGCAAACCTTGTGCATGAATGAATGCAATAAAAGATAAAAAATGTAAATGCACATTAATTTCTTTTAGAGGTACAACGATTATTCAAGTATGTGATTAGTCAGCGGAGAGAATTTTTTTTTAGGAAAAATATTCTCTGGTTCACTGGTTACAGCTTCGCCAAGGTCTCAAAATTTTGTCTCTGTTTTATTTAATGGAAAACTGAATTTTTTTACTGTGTGTCAGACAATACAAGACATTTCCTTAATGTCAAAAAGGACTCTGGAAAAATGTGATGGCTATCTATATACCTTATTTTTATAGACCAATAGATGAATTGAGGAAATGGTTTGCAGATTATACTTAACGTATAGTATAAAGTATAAGTAAGATTTAACAATTCGTCACTTCTTGCTTGAGTTCTTCGAAAGTCCTCTCAGTTCCCTAACCCTGGTAACTGGGATCTGACACAGGACCCATGTTAAAACAGTCCAAATGGATGTCAGTCTAACTGGGCGTGGGTAGGATCGGGGTCTTCTGTATATGGAGTGCATCCAAGCAGACGCATTATCAGCTCTGATCGTGGCCATCATAACATTCACAGCAGAAAAATGTGTTATTTGACACTAGATGGAGAGTGTGAAATGTGAAGTGAGGAAAAAATGACATGTATCGCAGCTCCTTAATTGGTGGAGCATCAGGTGCCGACGGTGCTGCCGCTGTTGGTGTTAGCTCAACTGCATTTTGGATTGGTTCAAAGTGTCTTCTGTTCTGACTTTTCCGGTCAGGTGTTTGTCTTTGAAAATGTATTTATTTTATTAATTTATTAATTATTTTTGCGTAGGTTTTCTATGGGTTAGATCAGTTCCAAAACCAGTGAAGACCTCTACTTCATGGCTTTAGCTAAGAAGTGTTGAAGTTAGGAACCAAAACTACCTTCATTCTTCACATTGCAAAAGCACAAACAAAATCATATGTCAAGAATCTTTAAAGACAGTATTTAAAATAATCACATCCCTTGCTGATTCATACAGAATTGAAATCATAACCAATCTCACAATTATCATCAGTGGTTGCTTATATCAATATTAAACCTGTGCTTGTGGGCATGATTGATTTAGATGATGTCAACTGTCAGTTCAGGTTCACTGGTTTACTCATTTCCGTTTATTGTGTAGTTATACAGCTTATATACATGTATGAGTCTTCATCAGTGGGTGGTGGATTCCAAAATCTACCAGTCACTAAATGTTTTTACCAGCCATTTTCTTGTTTTAAACAGCAGTGTGGTAACCTTATAAGACAGCTGAAGCTATGCCTGTGTCCAAAACACAGTGGTTTAGACCAATCAGCTTCCTTTGAGGAACTACAGGCAACTGCGGCACAAGCTATGGTGTGCGTGAGATGACGTGTGGGAGAAGTGACTGTTACATAGACTTACATTCATTTCCTGGAGACTTACCCTATCCCCAACCTCTAACCCCTAACCTTGACAACTGACCCAAAAATCTGCCTTTTCCCAATTGGGGACACAGCTTTTGTCCGCAATTGGACAAGCCATACCCAATTAACTGGTCTTTAGTCTGAAATGTGTCCCCAAAGGTAGTCTAAGTCAGAAACGCACACACAAACTCCTTATCCTCCGAGGCAGATTTTCTGACCTGGATGTGGCATTTGGACAACTGGTTGTCTTTTATGGCTTCCAATTTAAGGTTTTTAGTCTCAATATTGAAACTATTAGTTGTAACAACAACATAACATTGTCTGGCTTGTCTGCTTGTAAACTAACCAATCAGGGGACTCTGTATAGTCGTTTTTTTCTCCAGTTCTCATTAAAAAAACGTTTTATGACCTTTGCCTCTTTGGCCTGTGTCTCCTCCTGGGAGGTTTTCTCTGCAGACCTCTCAACCCCAGCAATGTAACGGCACATTGCTTTTCCGTGTCTCCTCGTTAAAGTGTCCGAGTGAAACAAGCAGACTTGTGATTCAATCTGCATTGTGGAATGTCAGAAATCGCACTGTTACGCAACTTTTATTTACCCACCAGTGCACAAAATCACCATTTGGCGGGTGTCGGGTGTTAATTTCTAACCCTTCCAACATCCTTCAAAATGTAGATGCATTTTACCAGTAGAGCACCTTCTGAACTGAGAGAGAGACGAGATTGCTGTCGACTTGGATACATCTGAGCTGTTGCCATGGTGCTACACTTCCTTTAAAACCCTCAGTTTAGTCCGAAACCACATCACCACTGAGTGACAAAGACATATATATATATATATA